TTGTATCCAAGATGACAAAGAAACGGTGCGCAACCTTTTGCTGACTGCTCACCAAAGACGCAAAGCAATTTGCAGTGTGTCACAGATTCGTTGAAGTCTTACCGTGCAGATCCATCTTATCTGTACAATGCGTCAAAATTCTTCCACAGAAGTCAAGTATTTTTTGAAGGATAGTCAGTGTTGGAATGGTCCCCACCTTAGCATGTTAACACTCTTCTGTTTATGAGATGAAAGTGCATTGCTGGAATTATGGGAGAGCACAATGCCTGGGTGTGACCTAAACTCTACCTGGGTGAGCATCATGTTGACATTTGCTGTATTGGAACACTGTTGTAGCAATCGATGCAGAGAGAATTAATCAAGGCAAAGGACTGAATGATTAACAGAAAGTTGACTATTATCTTTGGAACAGGTCTCTGAATTGGTGGGCATCAAATTCTTGCAACATGATAAACGGAACAGATGGAGCCAGCTTCCACCCTTTGATCAAAAAGGATGAGAAGCTTTACATTTTTGCATCTGATGTTTGCAGGTAATTGCATGGGTGTAAGATGAATTATGTGTAACAATACTGGAGGAAGCAGAGTTGGAGCCACAATTGTTAACAATATAAATGACTTCGATGGGGAAAGTGAATGTACTGTCGCAAAGTTTGCAGATGACACAAAAATAGGTGAAAAGCTAAGTGGTTCAGTTATCACTAAGATCCAATATAGGGATATAGACAAGTTAAACCAGTGGGCAAAAACTTGGCAGATGGAAGATAACGTGGGAAAGGGTGAAGTTATGCACTTTAGCAGAAAGAATAGTGGATGTGAATATTATTTAAATGAAGAAAGACTGAAGAGGGTTATAAGTACCAGTGGGATTTTGCGGGGTCCTCTTGCATAAATGACAAAAAGCTAGCAGCCAAGTTCAGTGGGTCACAGGGAAGGTAAATGGAATGTTGGCCTTTATTTCCAAGCAAATGCAGGATAAAAATAGGGAGGTTTTGCTAAAATTATACATGGCATTAGTCAGACCACAGCTGGAATACTATGAACAGCTTTGGGCCCCTTATCTAAGGAAAGATATACTGGCATTGGAGGCAGTCCAGTGAAGATTCATTGGGCTGATCCTGGGTATAGACGGACTGGCTTATGAGCAGAGGTTGAGTAGATTGGGTATGAGTTCATTGGAGTTTAGAAGAATGAGAGGTGACCTTATTGAAGCATACAAGATTCTTTGGGGACTTGACAGGGGAAATGTGGAAAGACTGTTTGTCCTTATTGGAAAGTCTAGGACCAGAGGGCACAATTTCAGAATAAGGGGTCACCCATTTAAGACAGAGATGAGGAGGAATTTCTTCTCTCAGAGGGTAGTGAATCTGTGGAATTCTGCATCACAGAGGGATGTTGAGGCTGGGTTGTTAATTATATTCAAGGCTGAGGTAGCCATTTTTTTAATCAGTAAGGGAATCAAGAGTTGTGGAGCTGAGGATTATTAGATCAGCCACAATCTCATTGAATGATGGAGCAGACTTGATGGGCTGAATGGCCTACATCTGTTCCTGCATCTTATGGTAGCAATGTGAAAGTCAGATCTCTGAGGAACAAAAAGGATATTGGCGGTGTGCGAAACAAATTCCAGGAGAGAGAGAGAGAGAGAGAAAGAGAGAAAGAGAGGGGCTGAATGTGTCAGGAGAGACTGAACAGACTGAGACCATTTCCCTGGAAGACAGAGAACTGGGAGGTGACCATTTTTTCTTCCTTGGGGTAGTTGTAAATGCTGGGTTTAATAGGGAAGTCTAGGAGCAGATGTTGCCTAGCCTGGAGGCGTCTAAAACCAGTGGTCATAAACAGCAGATAGTCACTAATAAATCTAGTCAGAGATTCAGAAGAGACTCCCTTTCTCCAAGGAATGTGGAGCTCACTCGCACAGGGGTGGCTGTAGTGAAGGCTGTACCTATGTTAAAGGAGAGGATGAGGGATCAAATGGTAAAAGGAGATGTTGATAGGTGAGGTGAGGAGGATGGTGGGAACATTAACACGAGCACTGGCAACAACCTATTGGTGTGAATGGGCTGTGCCTCTGTACTTTAGATATTATTTAAAGCACTGCATTATCAGGGCAGCAGGATATTGAAGAGTGCATTTTATTTTCTTGTCCCTCAGTTGTTTTGACAGCCAGATTGTGCTGGTCTTAGACAACCTGTTCATCTAGCCACTGTTCCTGGCAGTTGTGGAATCCAGTGTCGATCCTCCATCGCAGTCACAGGTCCCTGTTCCTCTATTCCAGAGATGTAAAGGACACAACTGGAGCCAATCTTCACACACTTGTGCATTAATTTACAGAATTGCACACATAGACCTCAGAACTCTATAGCCAGGGTTACAGTGTGCTTCGATTCACAAATTATTAGCCTGTTTTTACACGTTATAAAACACATCTGTGCGTGTCACATCCTCAGGTGAGACTTGAACCCAAACTGTATGGCTAGTAGTTAGGTTCACTACCACTGTGCCACAACATCCTTTCTGTATCTGCTTATTGCAGCTGAAGTGATCCCCATAAATGTCCATCATCCATATATTTAAAGGCAGTTGGTATTTGGTTAATACATTGCGTTGCCTCTATTTAAATAAAAATTAGGGTTGATATACATTATCAAAATTTCATAACAGTTTAAGTCCAATACTTCCATATTTTGAGTAAGTAACTGACATTAGTACATGATCCAAACCCCTTCTCCAGGGATGCCTCAGGGATGTCGGAGTGCATCTTATAGATAGTACACACAGGCTGCTACTGAGCGTTGGTGGTGGAGGGAGTGGATGTGGTGCCAGTCAAGTGGGCTGCTTTGTCCTGTCTTGGTGTTAAGCTTCTTGAGTGTTGCTGGGGCTTCACCCATCCAGGCAAGTGGGGAGTATTCCATCATACTCCTGACTTGTGCCTTGTAGATGGTGGACAGGTTTTTGGAAATCAGGAGGTGAGTTACTCGCTGCAGGATTCCTAGCCTCTGACCTGCCCTTGTAACCATAGTATTTACATGGTGAGTCTAGTTCAGTTTCTGGTCAATGGTAATTGTTGATTGTGGGAGATTTAGTAATGGTAACATCATTGATTGTCAAAGGGTGATGGTTAGATTCTCCCTTGTTGGAGATGGTCATCGACTGGCACTTGTGTGGCATGAATCTGGTACACTCTTTCAGTTTTATGTACCTGAGGTTGGGCTGACGGATAATACTGGAGGTGGAAGAGAGCAGAGAATGGGAAATGGAGGGAGTATGAGGGGGCAAATCAGATAGAGTAGGACCAAAGTAGAGGGGGCTGGGATGCACAGAAGGGATCAGTGGGTGGAGAGGAGCTGGAGTTGTGGAAGGAAGGGGAAGTATGTAGGTGAAAATAACAACATCAAAAAAGAGATGACTTCCAATTGTTGCTGCTTCACACAGGTCTTTCTATCTGATGTTTGAAAAGGAGGTGGAAGTAGAGGGCATCAGCGCCTATCGATTTGTTCTGCCAAAAGAGGTTTTCGCAAGTGACCATCCCAGTAACAAGGAATGTTGTCCAGGAGGGAACTGTCCATTGTCAGGGGTCCTGAATATCAGCACCTGCAAACAAGGTGGGCATTGAAAACGTTTTACTCTGCCACGGTCATAGGGCATTGTAAAGCTGGCACTCTCAGTCTACACATTCTGAATACTGAATCACTTTGCAGTCCCACAAGTGAGTCATTGTTCCCTTAGTATTGAAAGAGAAGTCTACAGAAACAGGCCATTCAGCCCAAAACAGCTAAGTCGGATGTGCTGTCTTTCAGGTTAGACATTCAATCAAGGCATTACCTTATTCTCTCAGGTGATGGTAAAAGACCCCAAAGCCTTATGTCAAAGATGAGTGGGGAGGTATCCCTGTGCTCTTGGTCAATACAAATTTCTCAACTGATGTGACTACAATGGATTGTGTAGTCATTATCATGTGGTTATTTATTGGATCCTTCAGTTTCCAATTGGCTTTTTTTTCCTATATATGACAGTGTTTATACTTTAAGTGTCCTAATTAACTGTAAAGTCTTGGGGATTGTGAAAGGCACTGCATAAATACAAGCCTTTTTGAATCATGGCTCACATTCTAACCCATCCCTCTGTATTTACGGATCAGATGCCAACGCCCACTTTAACATTCATCTCCATTTCCTTTCAACATTTACCCCCATACACTCCTTCAACATTCATCCTTGAAAACCCCATCAAGATTTATTCTCATCCACCCCTTTAACATTTACCCATCACCATCAACATTTACCTCCATCCTCCATTCAACATCCACTCCTTCCTCCTCTGGTGCTCAGTAGCAGCAGTGTGTACCATCTACAAGATGCACTGCAGAAATTCACCAAAGATCCATAGGCAGCACCTTCTAAACCCATGACCACTTCTATCTAGAAGGACAAGGACAAAAGATAGGTGGAAACATCACCACTTGCAAGTTCCCCTCCAAGCCCTTCACCATCCTGACTTGGAAATATATCGTCCGTTAATTCACTGTCGCTGGGTCAAAGTCCTGGAACTCCCTCCCTAAGGGCACGTGGGTCCACCTTCAGCACATGGATCTAGTTGTTCAAAAAGGCAGCTCACCACCATCATCTCAAAGGCAACTAGGGATGGGCCGTAAAGGCCTGCTATTTACTCACTTCTTCCCATATAAAGAGAACAGAACTTCAGCCTGTTTGGTCTTTCCTGATGCTTATAACTTTTCAGTTCTTGTTTGTCATTTTAGTCAATTTATTTTGCACTGTCTCCAGTTTGGAAACAAGTTTGATTATGCTGTCAATTTGCACGTGGCTCTTCACAGAATAGAGATATTTTTCAAGGTCATTGTGATCATTTCTGTAAATTGCATTAATCTTTCAGTCAGCAGCGCAAAACTTAAGCTTGGTCAGTGGCCCAGCTGTTATTGTATCTTGTGTGGAGTATTATCGACTGCGTACCAACATTGTTGGCATGTCACATTGACCCCAGAGTTGGATTGATGTGTTTTGAGGATTTGTAGTATAATCACACACTGCTACTCTGGAATCCCTGAACTGATCAGTGACAAAGTTCAACACTGCCTGTTAAGGGCCCAAAGCATTTTTCAGCAGTTTTGTCTCTGGATTTCCCTCACGATAAAATCTGAAAAAAAACACTTGACTAAACTGGAACCAGAACAAAAAATGGTGTTTCAAACATTATGCTTCATAACAAAATACCATGAAAATATGGAACAAAAAGTGACTAATGTATTTCGGTTGGTTACTAGTTAATAACTATTTTGCCTGTTTACTGTTGTGTTTTCATTGGTTACTTGTGACTGTTTTGTTTTGGTGGTTAATGGTTAGCAACTGCTGTATTTTATTGGGTTACACATTTGTGACTGCTTTGCTTAAGTACTTGTTAGTGCCTTTTATTTTGGATGGTTACTAGATAGTGAATTTTTTTGCCTGTTTACTGGTTGGTGCTGCCGTGTTTCAGTTGGTTTCCAGCTAGTAGCTGTTTTATTGGTTGGGACAGTTTACTTTGGCTAGTTACTGGTTGATACTAATAATAATCACTATTGTAATGTTATTTATTCGCAATGCACATTCACAACCTGAAGGCTTTATTGTGCTGTAACTTGCATTGAAAAATTAATATGTATCAGAAATAATTAGGTTAAAATCGAGAGCAAGCACATCTCTCATGAAGTAACAAAAATGGCCAAGGGAATGGGACATTAAAGGAAGGATTATGTCAAGGTATTCAACTGGCTAGAGTAATTGTAAATTTAATTGAAACAAGGCAAATTGCTCAAAATTGAAAGGCCCCCTTCCAAGGTGTGGGGTCTGAAAAGAGAAATATCCCATAATTCAGACACACATTGAAATATGTGACTTTAAAAATTGCAAACATTTAACTTTTAACTTTGTTCTTTCTTTCTACCCTGTTCTTAAGATTCTGTACCTAGGTACTTGTACCTAAGATGGCACCTTGTGTGACAACATTATACAATTTTCACTGTACTCTTATAATTTTGTGCTTTGGTATACGTGGCTTTAAAACTAAAATCAATCAAAATCAGTCAAAACTAAGAACTGAGCAGTGACACAATAGCTGTCACAGACAAACCCAGTTGGAGGTTGGGTGAGGTTGCTAGAGGATTTGGGGACTACTAACATTGTCCCACTATTAAAAAAGGGAGAAAGGGATAGACCAGGAAGTGCTACCTCAGCATTGGGGAAGTTCTTAGAAAGTACTCTGGGAGACTGAATATATCTGCATTTGGAGACAGATTAATCGGTATAATTTGTTAAGAGACATTTTTGACAGGTTTGATGGATTTTTTGAGTAGGTAAGCAGGAGTGTCAATGAGTGTAATATATTTAATGTGGTCTACATGGACTTTAGCAAGGCTCTGACAAGTCCCTCATGGCAGACTGGTCAAGAAAGAGCCCATGGGATCCAAGGTGAAGGGACATGCTAGATCAAAAACTGGCTGACAGGCAGGAAGTAGAGGATGATTGTAGAGGGATGTTTCTGTGAGTGGAAGTCTGTTTCCAGTGGGGTTCCACAGGGCTCGATGCAGGGACCCTTGCCATTTGTGGTGTGCATTAATGATCTGGAATTTAGGGAAGGGGTTATGATCAAGAAGTTAAAATCATGAAGGGCATGGATAGGATGAATAACAAAGATCTTTTCCCCTGGGTGGGAAGTCCAAAACTAGAGAGCATATTTAGGCCACGTTTGGAATACTGCATTCAATTCTGATGTCCCTGCTAAAGGAAAGATGTTGTGAAACTTGAAAGGGTTTAGAAAGGATTTACATGGATGTTGCCAGGGTTGGAGACTTTGAGCTGTAGGAGAGGCTGAATAGGCTGGGGCTATTTTCCCTGGAGCGTCAGAGGCTGAGGGGTGACCTTATACAGGTTTATAAAATCATGAGGGGCATAGATAGGGTG